ACCTTGTGTTGCAATTAAATATACACATGTATCATTTTATCACAACACAAACACCAAAACAATTTTTTACATAAGTCGATTTACAGTTTTGCATACCTTCATTTTTTTACCTTTTCGCAAAAAGGCGCAATTACAAATTTGCTCATATTTGTTATTTATTAACTCATTACAGTTTTATCTTTTAGATTTAGTCAGAAAATAATTTATTTTGTGCACGGATACTGATTTTAGTGTGTTTTAACAATTGAATTGTGTATTTTTATCGGTTTAATATTAATTTGAGAAACATTTGCGCAATTATCGCAGGGCCTACAAATTTAGTATCACCATCTTTTTATTCTACCGGGCCTGCGCTTTCAGAAAATATATGGTTTGGGGGGTCTTTTACAAACTCTAGCAACCCAGCAGTTGAAAATTAAATCAATAGGAAAAAATTGCAGAAAATTCAAAAATGGCTTGGCCAGCTGATTTGAAAAATGTTCCGGAGGGCTTGGCAGCGAAAGGGTTAAAGTAATTAAGGACTTTTTCAAGTTGTGTGTGTACTATTGTACCTATGTGCTCAGGACATTTTTTACATCTGTACATATTCCTCATGACAGTGCCCAGGCCCCCCCCTTATGCCCTTTTTTCAACAATAGCTTTCCTATTAGCCTTGAAAATGACCAGATAAAAAAAATCCCCTCCCATCGATTTCAAAAAAATTCAGGGTTTGTGGCCTTCACACTGGGTTTGCCGAACCTCCTATGAACCAAAACCAGCCAGGTTTGCTCATTCCTACTGCCAGGTATATGTGGAGAAAACTCAAATTTTCATGTCTATGCCAGGTAACTGTCTCCTAAATATGGTAAAAGGTAAATGTTCAGCGTTCGTGATGCAATAGGAAGTCACTTTGCCATCATTAGGGTGTCTGTAAAGGTTCAGGTACTGTATTGGTATATATCCTGCTCTCCTCTTGCAAATAAAGTAGTACGAGCGCTCGCTGGTTCTAGTCAATAACTACAGGAACTCATCTTAAAGCAATTTTCTTAACTGGATTCTGAGTCCTTTTTAGATAGAGGCACCTGGGGAGATAACTGCATCAGATACAAACTATGCCGTGGCTAACTGGAAATGGTTAGCCAATTCTTCACAGCCCTTTCCTTTGAATACATGACAATGGAAAATCTGGTACCAAAATTAACACGTTATGTGGTAACCATACAATATGACCAAAACGAGGTATGGTAAAGCCCAGCTCCTGGCACAATTATATTACTGGAGTATAGTAAGATATAAAAGAGGGGATTTATGAAAACTGGAGCAGTTGTGCATAGTAACCAATCAACTTCTCTCTTTAGTTTGTTCAGTTAAGCTTTTAAAATGTAAGATAGAAGCTGATTGGTTGTCATGGGCAACTGCTCCAGATTCTGATAAATTCCCCTCATAGTGTCTTTTCTAAAAACCCACCTGCCATATTCAGTACTGGGTTCATCTCCCAGTAAATCATCAACTGTACATAGGGGTGGAAGTCCACCTCCCGCGGAACTTCCGAGCCCACTCCAGCTGTAGAAGTCACCACTGAATATGGCAGGTGAACTTTTAGAAAAGGCACATTACATCTTGTTGCACTCCACCAGTAAAATGATTGTACTCAGAGTTGGGCTTTAAGGTTATCTGAAGATGATATCTAGCAAATTACCAAACCAACCACACCAGTAAGGCACCTGCAGTCCTATTGCAGCGGGAAAAAAAGGTTTTTAATATAATCATTCAAAGCTATCTAACTAAAAGGCAGAGCTGCTAATACGTAATAGTAACCAATAATAAATTATATATAAAAAAATAAATAACTAAAATCTGATAAATGTTTTCTGTGCAGTGGTAACACTGAAAAAAGCTCTAGCACCCCCGCTTGTACCCCAATGTATATCAATACATATTTCAGGACATTGTACCCTATAATTCTTCACAGTTTTCATAGTATTTAAGCCAAAGAGACAGTGAGGGGGATTTATCAAAACTGGAGCAGTTGCCCAGGGCAACCAATCAGCTTCTCTGGTCAGATTGTTTAGTTAAGATTTGAAAATGAAAGAGAGAAGCTGATTGGTTGCCATGTACAGCTGATCCAGATTTTGTCTGCACCAGTTTTGACAAATTCCCCCCCAGTATGTTGTCCCACAATCACAAACGGATGCAAAATTACCAAGTAATTTGGGGACTGTTAAATAAGGGAATCCTGACATTTGCAAAAATTCAGAATTCTAAGTGTTCTGTTATCATGTTGTTCTTTAACATACCCAATTCCTGCTAGCAATGCTCCGTCGCACTGATAGAGAAAATCAGGTAGATTATATCCTCTCATTTGGAGACATCATGATCTGGATAGATTTATTGTAAGGGAAATCACATTATATACAAGAGGTTTGCAAGAAACCATTCCACGGTAAGCATCAACACAAAAGCAATAAAAAGATGTCTCTTGCCACAGTTAATGCAGTACAATGAATAATAACATTTAAAGTCAGCATAACTATGTGCTATTATTGTCATTTTATTAAGGGAAGGGTAAACACACAGTTCCTGAGTTCGCCACCGGACTGCAAACCACCAGCTAGATGTACAAAGTGACAATGGTCGGTCACCAGCTTTAGGTGGCCACATCTCTGATTGTCTCCGACACGCTCCTGGTGCCACAAAATGGCTTGACACCTTGACACACAGTGAAATCTATTCAGTCATAGTCTTGTACCACAGATAAGACTTATTGGTCATTACTATATCATATTCAGATTTATTGGGCACTGAAACAAAACACTAGAGTAGCATTTTAAAGGCTTGTTCTTGAGTTCATTCAGAAACATACTAAACTGTAGCATATGAAGGAAAAGATAAGAGTTCATGGGTTAAAATGAAAAATACTTGCTCAGATGAAGACTGTCAATATTATAAATGGCTATTGTCAGTAAAAGTCTTTGGGGTTTCGGAACAATAAATCGTATACTAAGCATTTTGTTAACAGTTGCATTGAACACTGAAGGCTGTTTGGTAGGTTTACCATAACAGTATAAACTTTCTTTATTGTACTTCTACACTACTATAGCTGTGCATATTCTTCCTGTATGGATGTTCTGGACAGTTTCTCTGTACTTCTTCTTAAAAAGGTTTCTTTGGTGCTTTACACAGTAAACAAAACAGACCTCAATCTGCAGAATCAACAGATAAAGATCCATCTTCAGCTAAGGTTTGATATCAGATACCATCAATCTGCTTCTAGTGCAGCCCTGGAACAGTTTACAAGATCTGGCAAACTGCAAGAAGGATCAACTCATTACATATGCGACACTGGAAGAAACTGGTACAAATCAAATACTTTTAGGCTAGTTGGATATTTGTGACCATCAGGTAGACAGGGATAAGGGTGAAGTAGGGCTCATAAATGTAATGTCATAGACCCTTTTGTAGATTTAAGACATCTTCAGTCCAACCAACACATTTCAATAACCCAAAACTGCCCTTCAGCAGCCGGAAGATCACTTTTGTTCAAACAACTTGTATTACTATTTCTTTTAATAAGAAACAAAAAATGAGCAAAACGTAAATTGTTCAAATGACAATATTCTCTTTCAGTTTATAAATGTGGCCCCCCAGGGGCTCATGTAAATCTGGGAAGCCCCAATGGTTCAGGTAGGAGAAGGGACTGTTTTGCAGGGTCCTGTCATCACTCAGAATAGTGCATGATTGACTCCACGTAGTTGCCTGGGAAAAGACCCGTCACACCATTCATGACACCCTCGTACCAGCCATCATCATTTTTCTTAATGACATATATGATAGCGCCTTCTTGAAAGGACAGCTCGTCTTCTTTGTCCTTTGAATAATCATAAATTGCCACAACTGGAAGAAAAAGGAAGATATTAACGGGATATCCATGTATGGATCTTATAAGGAGACAGTCTGCAGTGAAAACTATTTCCCATCTTTGACCACTATTTGGATAATATTGCTTTTCAGATAAAGATTTGTTACAGGTTGGATAAACTGGCAAGGCTTTCCCCAACATCAACACGACACAAAAGATTCCCCATTATTTAATCTAAATAAATTAGCATAAAAACAGCATGATTAGACCACAACTTTTAACACATAAATGTTCTTTTGTTTCCAGTGTAGCAGGGGTGGCTGGAAAGCTGAATGGATTACACCATTACCTTTCTCTAAGTAGTTTCTAGGTGCCCAAGGAGGATCTTCTTCAGCATATGGGTCACTGTACTCTACTACTGCAGCTTCTTCCTCTTCATAATCTTCTGGAGGTGGAGGTGGGGGAGGAGATTCATCAAATACTGGTTCTTCTGCAGGAGGTGGTGGAGGTGGAGTTTCTGAAACTTAAACACAAAAAAAAAAAAGTGCTAGTTAAGGGACTCGTAAGCTGGAGAAAACTATATGGGAAGTGGAGATGTTGCCTGTAGTGACCAATCATGTTTCATCTTTTAATACTTAAGAAAATAAGAACCTCATTGGCCATTACAAATAACTTCAATTTTATTTAAAATGTTCTTTTTCTCTATAAATAAGCACCTTAGAATAAGCAGGCATAAAACCATTGACTTGTAATGATGTGCTTTCTGCTCCTTTTGCCACAATGTTGCTTTATGGAGATCATTTGAAGCCACTACATCATATGTGGTCCACAGTTGCAGCATGCAGCCACCTGACATCAACACCAAGTCTACAGCTCAGGTCCTGCAGAGATTTGCCTGACACTAAAGCCAAGTGCTTCTGCACTTAGAAAATAGTATGTAGAATATGAACAGAAATCAGTGACAAAGATTCAGAAATATGTCTACGTAAAGCACATATTTCACAATAAGAAAATTGTGTTTCTGCCTAACCCCTTCAAGACTGAGCTTCTTTCAGTTTCTGTTCGCTATTGACTGACGCACATTTTATATTTTTGCTGTGGGATTCTTCCACGTCAGTAATATACTGTCTTACCAAGTGCACCCACACATATTGTATTGTGTTTTTTAGAGGACCAATAGGGCTATATATTTTTATCACATATGTATGCCTAACACCTCACTTAGTATAAATAAAACACTTTTCACCCAGTTTTGATTATTATTTTTTAGAAAAAAAGTACAGCTAAAAAAAATGCATTCAAATAAATTAATTTATTTGTCCTTTATGTGGAAGCACCTCACATCCCTCGGTTCTCAGAAAATTTTCAATACTTTTTAGCCTAAAACAAAAAGCTAACATTTAATGTTTTTTTCTCTAAAAGCCATAAGTGGTTAGGTTAAGCAGCATACAATGTTACTGTCACTAAGTGTCACGCTTAGTGACAGCGACATACTTTGAACAGCGCCACCATGAGGGGGTAAAATTAAAAAAAATTAACCCCTTAGGGTGAAAAACAAATCTGAAGCTCAGCTGCAGATTTTCATTGTAAAGGGTTAATTTTTATAATTATAATATATAAATTAAATGTTTTGCTTTAGATTTATTTCAATTATATCAAGCAGTCATTTTGAATGGATCTCACTATGACTGCTTGATAATTAAATACAATTTTAGATTATTATTATTAGGCTGCTCCAAACTTTGGAACACCTTAGTGACTGAACCTGAAATGCTGATCCTACAGAGTGTCAGGTTCAGATCTTACTAAAGACTTCTGATCGTTTCCAGATCAGAAGTTTGATGCATTGTTTCAACAAAAACATTTTGCTAAATGTTTCTATTGCTGAAACATGTAGCAAAAAGCCGATACACAACAGGATTTCCTAATCCCTGTGTGTTCCGCTATCAAACAGTGATAGTGAGTGTGGTAAATACCGCAAAGCTTTTACTGAAGGATTCCCAATCGCTACAAGCGATTTTTACAAAAGCATAATTCTTTTATTAATACTGAGGCATCCATTAATGAAGGGTAACCGCTGATCTCAGCGGTTACCAGCTTTTGACAGCTCCAAACAGCTGATCACATACAGGGCACGTGATCAGTCATTTGGGGACGCACAGTGTATGTCTCCAGTCACAAGGGGGTTAAAGAAAAAATGTAATTTATATATTGATTTATTCTGTTAAATATGAAATATATATATAAAATTTTTTATCCTTATTTTACCCACAAGGTATAACTCTAGACTTGTATTTGTATGTTTAATATGTTCTCTTTATCTGCTTTGCTTGTTTACAGAGCTTAATAGCTCAAAGCTGAAATTTAAACACACATTAAACTCCTCCCCCCAACCCCACACCTACCCCTACTCAAAGAAAGTAGGCAGATTCTCCGCTGCCTCCTCTTTATAACAGCCATCATGCTGTGTGAATAAATGATATGTTTATTTATTTAAAAAAAACATCAGTATAAAACTTTCAAAAGGTAAGCTGCATTCAAAATTAGTAATATAAAATGATAAATTGCACTTGCTTTGTAAAATATAATTAACTACTTATAGTTATATGAGAGATTGTAGGAAAGATTTGAACACCAGATAATTACATTTTTATTGAGAGGCTTTTTAATAATATATCCCATTTTGCTCATGAGTAATAACAAAAACAACGCCTTGTTATTCCACAGCAGCATGGGACATATTAACCTAGTAAAACAAAGATGATGAAAGATATTCCTTTTTACAGCAGGGAATCATCATACAGGCACATCCAGAGTGCATACAAACCTAAAAGGAAACATTGAATATATTGCAGCTCATCAGTCCTTAGATGTGGTGGCTGCATTTGTTTGTTTTTTCAGGTTTTTCTCACCTGGTATTTCTGCAAACACCACACTTCACACTATAACTATGTTTGTGGTTTCTTTTGATAGCCCAATAAATCTGTCCATCTCTAAGTAACCTGATTTTTATTTTAATAAATGTACAGGCAGATTAATAGCTTAGCAGACATTCTACACACAAACTTACTGTTTTCTTGAACTCTTGCCACAAATCCCATCAGAGGTAACTGTGGAGTTACCTGTAGTATAGAAGGGGGAGGAGGAGCATGTGATACTGTGGGGAAAGGAGACATCATTAAAACACACACAGCTTAAAGAGGTCTGCTTATTACCAACTAAAAGCATTGGCAGATGTACTTAAATATTAAACCCATGCAGGCATTGGAATTGCATTATCTGGACTGCAAGAAAACTAGTATAGTTAATGTTTATATATGTATAGAAAGTATACGTCTACTATAATGACTGGTAGAGAAATAAAAACGATATAGTCAGAAGCAGGGAGTAATTTCTAAAAATGTTTAAACCTTATGCAATCTGAATCAGAACTAGCCCTGTCCAATATTTACTAACTGCTTCCCGGACTTGCTCAATGCTTAAGGAATAGAGGGTGGCTTTTTACTTATGTAGGTATAATCAGTAAACATACAGCACATGTGGAAAAACTGCCCCAGTCTCCATCAACAGATCCTACGGAGGCAGACAACGATCAAACTAGGTGGTGCTCTTTCCGCTGATATCAGCACCTAGGGTTCAAACAGTCTTTATACATAACTAGCAAGCTGGTAAATCTCCTAAAAGATCCACTCAAAGGTTAGAAAAGCATTCTGAAACGCCTGCTACATACAACCTGCCTTCACTGAGATCCAGAGATGTTGATATTTTGATGATCCGTACTGTTGGGCTGGATATGCTGTATATGGGACAGATTTTCTATTCTATACGAGATCCGATATCTCTAGGTAAGAATTGTGACATGCATGTGCCAATATACTAAGACCAGAAAACAAACTGCATAGAAAAATATCTGGCTGTAAAGTTCGTAAAAACTTGTTTCCAATGGTATCGTTTTCATCTATACCAGGAGTGGTCAATTTAGAATTCATAGAGGGCCTCAAGTGCTATCCTACACCCCCCCCCCAACACCACACACACAAGTTCAGAGGGCAGCATGATGGCAGTGTGTTTTTGTGCATTGAGGTGACTTGCATCCATTCAAATATATGGGCTTATCACCTTCCCATCCCAAAAGCAAGTCCTGCCGCACTCTGTGCTATAATATGGCAGCATTATGGAGGTGCATTCCGCAATTCACATTAAACACACCGGGTACCATTAATTATGAATAGCACCTGAATGCATCCGAGTTGCAGCACACCACAATGCATTGCAGGGCACTATTATGCATTGCTTTGTGTTGTCGGGGGAAAAATTGTGTAGATATGTTTTCTGGCCTGATGTGATGCATTGATAGGCAATTTTAATGAATGGGCTGCCTTAAACACAATGCATGTTAACATAACGCTCTGCGCATATGTGAATGTGGCCTTCTTCAGCTCCCCCTCTCAGTTTGCAGGCTTAAGGTGCCCATACACTGTGCGATTATCGCACGATATTCGCGGGAAATCCCGCGATCGTACGATAATCGCAAAGTGTATGGAAGACGTGCGACCGTTTTTACTGTACGGTCGCACGTCTTTTGTCTAGGGAGCACGCTAGACGATTTTCGGCTGGTTTGAACGGTGCTCGGGAGACAAATGCCGAACACTGCCCGTTCAGCATTGCGGTCATCGGAAGCCCGACCCTCAGGGGGGCGGGCTTGCGATGATCGAGAGTACGATCTGCCTGTCCAAGATGGGCAGATCGTACGTTTTTTTAATTACTTTACAACCATCGCAAGACTAAGGTCTTGCGATGGTTGTAAAGTGTATGGCCACCTTTAGACTGAGGGTCTCTGTAGAGTTTCTACATAAGTCAGTCGCAGCCCCAGAGAGGTACGTGATGTAACCTTCTAACAGTCCATGTGACCAGGGCTGTACAGGAAGGGTTGCAAGAGTGGGGAATCTGTACCAGCCAAGACCTTTACAAAAAGCCGACAGCAGCTTCTGATGTGCCAGGCGCTGGAGGTATCTGCTTACCAGCCTGCCAAAGTGGAGAGCCCTATGAGGTGGTTAGCTGAATCCATAATTTGGATGCAGGCAGTACATTAGGAGCTGCTGTTATTTGTAAAGGATTCAGTTGGTGCATCCTGTGCTCCCTGGGGCCCCCAAAGGCAGCGGAAGACATGTTGGGCAGCACAGCTCTATGCGTTGTAATTTGTATGTTTTTACGTCTTTCTGCATCTTTGGGGCAGTTTCGAGCAAGCCTATCCACTATTGCGCTGAATGGGTATAGCATGTAATGTTGCATGTTTTACATGTGCTTTATGTATGCATGCAAAATACCCTTCCCCTGCAAAAATCAAAAACAAACTCATTCAAAAACTCACAACACAGGGAAAATATGTTTTAACTGAAACTAATGCCAAGCGTTCCTGGCTCACTGACCCACAACCAGGATGCAAGTAAACAGTTCTGACTTCCAGGTCAGTTACTCAGAAAAGTACTGAAGCCAAAGGGTCTGGCATGATTGCCAATCAATTAGCATTCTTAGAAGGCGTTCATATTGGAAACTTCCTTAATACAACAGAGTGGCTGGGTCTGTAAGATATGTGAGGGAGTACAGGGCAACAAATAGGCTACAAGCATGCTGCCTAGCAGGAACTTCCATCCAAAACACACATTTCTGCTTGTTTTGTATTTAGTTCTTGTGGAACTCCAAACAAACTAATTCTAAATAGAGTGGGGTAGGATTAGAAGTACTGTCAGATTTTTGGATTCGCTTTGTATACCCACTGGGGACATTCCACTTTCTTAATGCTGTGTAAGTGGCATAGGAAGCATGAGGAAATCTCTCTAACTGGGGAACATTCATTAAAAAAAAACAAAAAACAATATAGTAGGGCGAGAGCTGGTCAGAACCTCCATTTTTTTTTCTTGCCATCTGCATCTCCTTTATGTTCACTGATTTCCTGTTTTGTCAAATCTTGCCAATGAGGACATGTATAGTGATAAAAAGCTGCAATTCAACTTTTATCAAATTTGAGCCTCACTAAAGTCTCAATGAAAACAATCTAAATTGTTTCACTACAATAATCTACACTCACCGGCCACTTTATTAGGTACACCTTGCTAGTACTGGGTTGAACCCCCTTTTGCCTTCAGAACTGCCTTAATTCTTTGAGGCATAGATTCAACAAGGTGTTGGAAACATTCCTCGAAAATGTGTTGGCTGCACATCCATGATGCAAATCTCTTGTTCCACCACATCCCAAATGTGCTCTATTAGATTGTGATCTGGTGACTGTAGAGGCCGTTGGATTACAGTGAACTCATTGTCATGTTCAAGAAACCAGTTTGAGATAATGTGAGCTTTGTGACATAGTGCATTATCCTGCTAGAAGTAGCCATCAGGGCACACTGTTGTCATAAAGGGATGGCCATGGTCAGCAACAATATTTTAGGTAGGCTGTGGCATTTAAACAATGCTCAATTGGTACTAAGGGGCCCAAAGTGTGCCAAGAAAATATCCCCCACACCATTACACCACCACCAGCCTGAACCGTTGATACAAGGCAGGATGGATTCATGTTGTTTATGCCAAATTCTGACCCTACCATCTGAATGTCGCAGCTGAAATCAAGACTCATCAAACCAGGCAACTTTTTTCCAATCTACTTTTTTGTCCAATTTTGGTGATCCTGTGCGAATTGTAGCCTGTTTCCTGTTCTTAGCTGACAGGAGTGGCACCCGGTGTGGTCTTCTGCTGCTGTAGTCCATCTGCTTCAAGGTTTGATGTGTTGTGCGTTCAGAGATGGTATTCTGCATACCCTGGTGTTAGCGAGTGGTTATTTGAGTTACTGTTGCCTTTTCTATCATCTCGTACCAGTCTGCCCCTTCTCCTCTGACCTCAAGGCATTTTTGTCCACACAATTGCCGCTCATTGGATATTTTTCAGGCCATTCTCTGTAAACCTTAGAGATGGTTGTGCGTGAAAATCCCAGTAGATCAGCAGTTTTGGAAATACTCAGACCAGCCCGTCTGGCCCAACAACCATGACACGTTCAAAGTAACTTAAATCCCCTTTCTTCCTCATGCTGATGCTCGGTTTAAACTTCAGCAAGTCGTCTTCACCACATCTAGATGCATTGAGTTGCTGCCATGTGATTGGCTGATTAGCAATTTGTGTTACCAAGCAACTGAACAGGTGTACCTAATAAAGTGGCCGTGAGTGTATATTCCGAAATGGTTTTTTTCCAATCCTTTGAGTAGGACTGCCGTTTTTTTGTTTGTTAAGAGTGGAGCTCTAGAGAAGGGGACTTTAGTTTTAGATATGTGGTGATATCAGAACTCCTGTCAGCTTTTTACCGCCTTGCCCCTTTCACCCAACTTCCTACCCCAGTGACCATAAAGTCAGGGCAATCACCCCAATCTGACAGAGGTTCAAACTGTTTCCTAATCACAAAAATTGCCTTTATTGCTGTGCCACCTATGGATAGAGTCTGCTCACTTCCTGCACTAGTGACAGGTATGAAAGTGACCAATAAACATTTGACAGATTTAGTCCCCTCTATCTATCCAAAACTAAAAAAAAACTATTTGCTTGATGTATCACAAAAAATACTCACTACACAGATTTTCTAAAAAAATTGATTATGACATTTGTATCCATGGCCAGCAGCTACAGTGGATATATAAAAAAGAATAAATGAATTCAGAATTTTAATGCGACCTATAATCTGTATAATTCAATTAACCCCTTCATGACTGAGGCCCTTTTTTCATTTTTTGCACCCATGTTATATTCCACATTTTAGGCCTGAAAATGACGTAAAACCCCCCAACATTATATATTTTCTGAATGCCAAGACCCTATAGAATAAAATGGTGGTAGTTGAACATTTTTATGTTGCGCAATATTAGCGCAACTCCTTATTAAACCCCAAAATTTAGTGACAAATTTAATTAAATGCCCCAAAACACAACAAATTACCCATTTTTTAGACTCTGATTAAGCCCATATAAAGTTAATCTGTTCTAGTAGGATTTTCTGATATTTACTCAGTTGTCTCTTACAGCAAATGTCATGCTCCACAAACAGCTTAAAAAGCATCAAAGAGAAGGGTACAAAAATAATTTCCAAGGTATAAGATATACCATGGAAGACTGTCATCAA